TGTGTCAGCTGTCCTGGCTGTGCGCCCTCCTGGCTTCTTGTGCACCTCCAGCCTCCTCACTGGCAGGGCAGCATGAGAAGCTGAAAAGTCCTTGACTTAGTGTAAGCACTGCTCAGCAACAACTACATCATCAGTGTGTTATCAACATTATTCTCATCCTAAATCCAAACCACAGCACTATGCCAGCTACTAGGAAGAAAATTAACTCTATCCCAGCTGAAACCAGGACAACTTCTCATTGGTTCTGGCTTTGGCTCAAGTTTTAGTGGTTATGAGCAACATTGAGCAGTATTAGAGACTCTTAAGATATCCAAGCCTTTTGAGCTTTCCTTAAAGTAAACACTCCAAATACACAGAAGGGGCTTTGAACCCAGAAAGCAAAGTTTTGCTAGAAAAGAAAATAATTAATTTAAACTCTGAGCATGACAAGAATAGAAATTAAAAGAGAATTCTAACAAATTTCCGTCTGCCAACTGCATCCTGGAAAGTCAAGCACTTTTCTTCAGGCTTGAAGATCTCTAAGTTCGTCAACCTTTAACTGACATACTGAAAATGTTAAAAGAAACTCAGTGCAGTCCATTTTGGGTCCCTAAGTAACGTTTTTCTTCCTTGCCTTTGAGGCTTAGCTGTGATCTCTCCATGCTCTTACCAGAGGATTCCCAGTACCCGTATTTTTTCAGGTTTCCTACTCTGTCTCCCAGCGTGGAAGTTGTGGCACAGGCAGAGGAGTATGGACAGTTCCTTTCAGCCAAGCATGCTTATTCATTATCAAAGATGGAGTGCAGCTGACCCCATGCACAGCAACTGCAATGAGTTAGTTTTCTTTGCTGACCAGCCACGCCTTTCTTAAAGGAACATAACTTAAATTAATACATCAGTTGGAAATAAGTAGTCAGATGCATTTAATGGGAGAGAACTAAGGAAGTCTTATTGCTCCTGAGCCATGCGTTGTGAGTCAGGGGAATACTGTGGTTCTTAACCTTGGTATACAAGGAACTGTGGCGAGAATCCTAGGTTGAGATTTGTACTAAATGTGATGCAAGACTTTCTAAAGTTGTAACTTACTTGTCCTTCTAAGCCATGAGGTCACAAGTCTTGTATAGTAGATTTTGTGTATTTTGTTACGTTTATTCCAGTTTTTCAAGGTTTTCAGAGAAATAAGTGAACTTAACTTCTTTCCTTGTGTCGTTAAGAGGGGCTTGGGTTTTTTGTTTTTTATTACATTCTGAAAATGCAATGGATAACAAAAGGGCTTGAGTTAAGGAAGGCTGATAAGAATTGTTCATACAGTGGAGGATGGAATTTCAAGAAATATAGCATTTTTTTAGATATTATCTACCGTGACAAAAGGACACTGGCAAATGAATAAGTAAACAGAATAAACGTATTAAGGAGAAACTGGTGAAATACAGAATGTATAGAATTCTGTATCCAGAATCAAGAATTTGTTTATGAAAAAGCATTCAGCAGTTCACTGTCAGACACTGGCATTTTTGCAGACTAACACTGGATATGCTACAATCTTTCCAGATGCTTATACTACTGTGGAGAAACTGAAGACGTGAGCTGTGGGTGTTTAGATAAGCCAAAGTTAGCATTCTAGTAATGCACACAAGTGGCAGCCACCACTGATATCTGATTTTTAAAACAAGTTGTTCCACAGGGAAGCAATATAGGCTGGTTTACTATGGATTTGTGTTGTGTTTCTGTATCCTCCTCTGCTGTGAGTTCAACTCTCCTCATGGGCTTCCACCTTCCATAATACTTACTGTTTGTCCTTTTTGTCCGCATATCCCTCACTTCTCTTTTCACCGTTACACCATATAAAAATCATCCCCATCTTCCTATGACCCAAAACAATCCACTGGTCAAAAGGGAGCAAGTGCTATAACTGGGTCTGAGATAACCAGACAAGCAGAACAAACAGAACAAAAACTGGAGCTCATGTTACAGCCTTTTTTATTGCTCTGGAGGACACGGCAGTCAGGTCTTTAGCTCTCTTCCCTCTTCTATCCAGATGCTGATTTTAAAAGAATTTGTGAGAGCGTTTGTTCTTTCAAATTTTTACTGATTTGGAATATGTATTTGAAATTGGCCAGCAGTTCAAAAAGTGAAAAAAGAGAAGGCTGGGGTGAGAATGGTGAGGACAGGCACTTGGGCAGATAATCCAAATAACTTCGTAAGATGTCGTTGGAAACCAGGCTAAAATAGAACAAAGCTAAGCTTAATAAAAACAGGTTTTAACCTCTCTTCAGTTGAACGATTTCTTATGTATAATTACACTATATATGGGCACTGTTGATATATGTAAAGTTTATTCAGTGAGTTTTCCTGTAAAAACTTCAGCTTTTTAAAGTTCCTGTTCCAGTTGTACCAGATGAAGGGAAAGTTTCCTTTTCCAAAGTTCACTTTACCGTGAGTCTTTGCTTTATTGATTTTTATTCTTTCTTTTTTTTCCTGTTTATTGCCCCATAGGAGCAGTCTCACAGGTGCTGGACAGCCTGGAAGAAATTCATGCACTTACAGACTGCAGCGAAAAAGACTTAGATTTTCTTCACAGTGTTTTCCAGGATCAGCATCTTCACACGCTACTAGACGTAAGTTTTCTGTGATAAACAATTTGAATGCGTCTCTGTATCTGTTGTTCATTGGATAATATTTTGGTTTATCCTGAATATATTCTTATTTTTTGTTTCATACCAAAATGAATTTATTTAGGTGTGGGATGTAACAATCAACTAGCACTTTACACAAAAATACATTTTAGGACTATACGTACAGAATGTTTTAGAATTTGTAAGTGGTTAATGACTTGGTTTGAATTAATAGCTTTGCTTTAAAATCATTTATCAGAATAGGCTTTTTTTCTTTTGATAAGGGCTGGATTTTGTCTTTTATTTCAAACATGAATTGTAACTTTATAACTGTACAGATTCATTCCTTTTTCGTTATTTTTAAGTAGTGTAATAATGTAATATAATAGAGCTTAGACCAGTTGTATGGATATTCTTACAAGTATGACATTTTTTGTATGAAACACATAGGTATGCTTGTTTCTGTCCTGTTCTTGAACACAGTATGTAATAGGCTCGGTCATTTAAATCTGTATTATTCTATGGTTCATGAGAGCTATTAATCCATAAGACAGCAGCAGGTATTCCACAAGAAAGTGTGCAAGAATTACAAAGCTGAAAGATACAGGTTAGTGCCTCCTGGCAGGCATAATCAGGATCTGGTTCCCATTTCTTCACAGTCTATCTGTAAGCATAGTTCACTGTATGGCCACACATAGAGATCAACTGTGATATCAGATGGTTCATAGATTTTTTTTTTTTTCTTCCAGAAAACTAAAGCGCTCTATTTTGCAAAAATAATTTTGAAAAGCAAGTAGTCTGGTGTTTGAGAGAAAAATGCTTGCACTCTACTTATCTTTCTGTGCCCTGAGGACTTCCTGTTTTCAAAGTTTCTTGTTATCTTGTCACATGCAGAAATCCTGTTTATATTTCCCAATAGTTTTTTAACCAAGAAGGCCTAACAAGCAAATACATTGTACTTTCTCCAAAACGGAGTGAATTTGGGAAAACATACATATAGTTTTGAGGCAGAAATATTTTCTGAACTTCAACTCTCTGCAAAAACAGGGACCTCCAGCATCACTGCAGGCTTACCTTCCATCCCTCACATTGAGTGCCAAGACCCTCATTGAAGGACAAATTCAAAAGCATATCATGCTGTCATTGATTTCTGTGTCTACACAGTATTGGGGTCTAAAATAAAGGTCAAAAAGAAGCAGAAAAACTTTTCCTGATTTTTTTTTTTTCTGGGATATATGGATACTTCATGATGAAGACAGAGGACTTGCTTTCAGGCAAGACAAACTTTTTCTAAAGCAATCTACACATTCCACTGAGAAAAAAACTCACAATTGAACCAAATCCACGGAGGCATAGGCTATGTCCACATTAGCAACTACTACAACATAACAGTAGGAGATCTGTAGAGCAAAGCAGTTGACACTGAGGACCCAGTGTCAACAATTCTGTATATTTTGAGGGCCTTTAATTTATACTAGCTATGGTGCAGTCCCGTGAACTGAGTAACTACTGGTAGGTGAACAGCATCTTCTGGTTTAGTGTCATTTGAGAGTAAATATGCTCTGGTAACACTGTGGTGTAGGTGGGCATAATCAGAAGATTAATTTCAAAAATACACTCCTGAATCAAACCAAAATGCTCACGTGACCATATAGATGATGAGCATTTTATTACTATACCTGAAATTTAACAGCTTGGATACCTCAGTGAATATCACAAATCTAACAAGATGTCTATGCTTTTTACCCAGTGAAAGACATGCAGGAATAGGAGTCATTCCAGCTAGCTGATCTGCAGGTAGATGATTTTAGTTGTAGAAACTTTAAAGAGTTTCTTAAAAATTGTTGAATGCTTTGGTTCCTATATGCAGCTTTGCAGGGGTATGATCTGAATGTAAACGGTGCCATAGTTCCTTTGGTGTCCAGACTCTTTAAAATGTAGTAGATGATTTGTACACTTCTTACAATTTGTTTAGTGATCCGTGAATAGTGGGCCACCTGGATTCTGTGCATCCTTCAGCCTTAAAAGATTGAAATCCACACAGGCTTCCTTCCAAGAGAGGACCCAGCCGCAGGGTTCTGAACTGGCCTGTATGGGAACATAAGCCTTCTGGTAAAGCTTCCCCACAACGTAGCTGCCTGTATGACTCAAGGAACCAGAGATAGTTAGCTGTTAAGTGACGAGGGCATTGCTCTGGCACAAGATTCTACAGTTCTAATCTTTGTTTTTGGTAAATGTTCATGCATTTTACATTAAACGGCCATTGGATAAAATTATATGAAGCATGCAGGAAAAAGGGATTAGGAGCTCATGACTTTCCTGAATTGCATCTCCAGCAACTCATCTTGCAACTTGCATTAAAATATGCATCTTTTTTTCCCCAGTGTAAGTTCATCTAGCTTGTGTTCCAGCTGCTTAAATTGCTCTGTCTTTTTATATTGCATGCTGTAGTATAGAAAGGTAATCAGATAATATGAATGAGAAATAAAAATCTGGACAGGAAGAGAATAACATGAGTGTAATAATAAGAACTGAAACACTTGTGTCACTCATGCGAGAAGGTTTTTAGGTATTTATTAATCATTATTATGTTGTCATATAACTCTTGGGCTTTGGTAAACCAGATGGCCTTAGTTTAAGTATTTTGCTATATGCCTGGTCTACCAGACATTAACTCACATTTCTGCAATGCTTTTGCTTTTTTCTGTTCTTTACAGTACCAGTCTGGTTCATAGCACTTCACTAATCATCTAATATTTCTGTAATGATCTGCTGTAACCTTTTAAACAAGAAAAAACTGAAATGAATTCATACCATTTTGCCATTCTTTTATTTAAAAGTCATGGTCATTCTTTTAGACAGAAAGGGATACATTTAGATGCGCACTATACTAACATATTTGTGAGAACAAAACACTATCAAAAAGCATTTTTGTTTTATTATGCTATGTGGAAGGGGGATGATAGAATCTTCCTGAAGATACTTTGATTAGAATAATACAAAATAAAATTCTAAAAGATTGCAATGTCATGATATACATATTTGAAAGACTGAAGCAAGTTACAGACAGTATTATTTAAAAGGGCAGCTTTTTCATTTCAGTAACTTGAATGTGGGAGATTGATTTCTGTTTATGCATTGATACTATTCCAGTTTCTCTCAAAACTCTGAAAAAATCATCCGTTGTACTTGGATGAAGTTCTGTCAGGGAAACTGTTTATTCCTCTCAGGGTATTTGGGGTTAATGAGGCCACCAGAACAAGTCACCTATAAAGCATTATATTCCACTAAGTAGGAATTTTATAATCTGTTGTGAAGTTGTGGCTGTCACTTTGCATTAAAACTACTGTTCCTCTTCCTTGGCCTTTTTCCACAGTTAAATTTGTTCTCATGTTCCTACTCTTTCTCAAGAGTTATCCTTATTTTTAGATTAGGCACATGATGATAGTTGACTCCTGCTGCTGAAATACCTTCTTTTGCTTCTGAACTAACTCTTTCTGAAAGCAAAAAAAAGAAAGAACAATCTTTGTGTTAAGCATGCGAGTTACCCACGTGTCATTTTTTTCAGGTAATGTAGATCACAAAATAGAAGCCTTCTGTCTCAGTAATTCATTAACTTAGGTGTTTTGCAGACAGACACCTCCCATCGATTGTTTTTAATTGATTCACTTATGTATGTCTGTTTAAATAGCTATCTTAAGACTCTTCCACTTTACTTGGGTGTCAAAGCTGTTCAAAACAACGGGGAGAAAGGTGCTAACTACTTACAAAGTAATTTATATTCACTCTGGGCCAAATCCTGCAATACACCAGCATATCCTGATGTGGCCTTACTGAATAGTTTCATTGTGTGATTTTTTTTTTTTCTTAATTTTACAGAATCCCTCTATTGTGTTGAGTGGTTTTTTCCTATACAAAAGTTACACAATTAATTATTAAAAACTTAATTTTGTTTACTGGGGATAGTAAAGAAAAGGGCCTTCCAGAAACAACCATTTAGAAATATTTATCGCCTAAAAAAAAGTTACTGTTTAATAAATGAACTTTCTTGTAAAGTAAAAGAGTAACTTTGGGTTGGACAGTTGTTGTTTTTTTTTTTTTTTCTCGCTTCTGTTAGAAATTTGATGATCAAAATTTTGGTGAATGCTGTAGGGCATTCCTCTGTGTGACTTAGAACTGTCTGAGTTTATGCCTATATAAAGCTTTTTAGATTGTTTCATTCGGGTATCCAATTTAGATAATAAAGAATGTAATAAAGTTAAGTAAAGGATATAAATAACTATGGAAAAAGAGAGGTAAATTTAAGTAGTGAAGCAGCTTTTTATTACCACTGACAGATTTTTAGAAGCCTTATCAAATGCTTTGATTAAGATTTTTTTTTTATTGACTTTCATGAAAGAGGTCCTGGCAGTCATTGCTGTCTTGTGTCAGCAGTACTGATAAAGAAGTTGGAAATAAATGTGAAGAGGTTACTAATTTTGGAGGCATTGGCGTTTGCTATTTTCTGTATCATGACAAAAGATTTTAATGATTATTTGTTTTGAAAAGTATACTGGGCTTCAAGGCTGTGCCTAATGGGGAAGATATTTACACATTGTGTTTCATCTCTATCAGTGCATCAAAGGAAGCAAAGTTTGCTAAAAAGTAAAACCAGAAGCTGCTATTTTATGCAGTCGCCTACACTGAAGGAGACAAGAGAAATCTTTCTTCTGTTGAGTCAAGTAGTTTGGTCACCTCTCCAGGGACGCTTTCTTGTGGGTGATTCTGAATGCAGATGTCGTTCGATTTTCAAGTGGGATTTTCGCTCAGCAGGAGAACAATATCAGCTTTTGTGTGACTGGGGCCTCTCTATGCTACTGGCTTTGTCTGCGTCTGTGTCCTGAGACAGTTCTCTAGGCTGATATCTTTAGGCTGTTAATTTAAGAAGTGTGTTACGTTATTTTCATAGATGAAATCGTTAAGGTAAGTGTTGTTATTTCCGCAAGTATATCTGCAATAGAAGC